GACTAGTCCACTGTCTGCAAGCACTGGTCATTTGAGGAGTGAACAAATGATGGAAGGTCACTTTTTTCACAAAGATTCACTTTGTCACTACTTTCTCTGTTTAAAAAAAAAGAAGAAGGAAGGAAATCTGCCTTCAGGGCCTAGCACTTTGGCCCAGCTAGTTTGTCCTACACCTCCAGCTACTAGCATCCCATGGGGAAGTCAATTTGTGTCCTGGCTGCTCCACTTCCTGTCCAGCTCCTTTATTATGACCTGGGAAAGCAGCAGAAGATGGCCCAAAGCCTTGGGGCCCTGCATCCACATTGGGGGTGGGGGTACTGAAGGAGGCTCCTGGCTTTGAATTGGCCCAGCTCTGACCATTGATTTGGGGAATGAATCAACAGACGGAGGATCTCTTTGTTCTATGTAATTTAAAAAAAAGATTTATTTATTTTGATTGTAAAGGCAGATATATAGAGAAGAGGAGAGACAGGAAGATCTTCTGTTCGATAGTTCACTCCCCAAGCGGCCGCAACGGCTGGTGCTGTGCCGATCCAAAGCTGGGAGCCAGGGGCTTCTTCCGGGTCTCCCACACGGGTGCAGGGTCCCAAAGCTCTGGGCCGTCCTCGACTGCTTTCCCAGGCCACAAGCAGGGAGCTGGATGGGAAGCGGGGCTGGTGGGAATTAGAACTGGCGCCCATATGGGATCCTGGTGCGTTCAACGTGAGAACTTTAACCATTAACACTGTCATGCTGGGCCCCTCTATATAAATTTGACTTTCCAAAAGATAACTCTTGAAAAAAAAAGATGCAAAAATATTAAAAGGAAAATTCCAGATTTAAATAACATGCATTTTGGTGTTGTTGTTTTTGAATAATGTGGTGAAGCTGCTCACTATCCCTTCTGTGCATCCAAGACTTTAATCATGTGCTTGTCTGTTGTTTTCATTCAGTATGTGCTACTCACCCGCAAGTCACTTAGGAGCCAACTCAGCTGGTTGTGATGTCACATTGCTTGAGCTTAGTGCTTAGCAGTGATCTTGTAGGGCAAGAATAGTGATGCTGGGAGCTTGCATATGCCAGAGGCTGAGAAGAAAAAGTGCTTCCATGAGGTGAAGAAGTGAGAAGTTTCAATTTGGTAAAGGAAAAATTAAATCATGTCCTGAGGGTGCCAAGAATTAGGACAAGATTTTTTTCTGTAAAATTGTTAAGAAAGGATAAGGAATTCATGTTAGTTTGACTGTCATACCCCAAAAACTACAAATAAAGTTACAGTGACTGTTTTTTTTAAGAACTTAGTTAAGATGGAAAATGCAGTAAATTTTGGTGCCTTATTTGGTTTCAGGCGTTCAGTGGCAGCCTTAGAATTTATCCATGACAGTTAAAGGAGGAACCATTCTATGTTCTTATCTAGGAGATATGAGGTGATCAGAAACAGTTTTTCTGAAAGAACAGTTATATTAATAAGTTAGATTAGCTCTGATTTCTACATTTGAGAACAAATCATTTTTAAAAGATTTTTTTTATAATTTACACGCATTATTACATCACAGTTTTTACTTGAAAATTTTAGCTTTGTCTAGTTGTAGTTTTGTGGTGGTGGTGTTTGAGGAAGGAATTTGACATTTCTAGAAGTCTTGTAGATTAGACTGTATTTGTGCTATTGATATCAAAGTGTAATTTTATCCAGTTCTTCAGCTATATTGAAATGAAATTATATGCTGTTGGGATATAACTTTCGTACATTCTTGGCTATCCTGATATTTGATTCTTGGAATAATAGGAAAGTTTTTGTTTTAAGTATTCATTAGGAATAAAGTAACTAAGGAAAAGTCCTGTTGAATTCTCTAAATGTTCTCTCTTTATCTCCAGCTATATTTTTTCTTGTGTTCTTCATGTGTGGAGATGGTTGTGTCTGCTTTATTAAACTAGCTCTTGTAAACAGTGCAAGTTTTCACACATGCATTATTATTGTTGCTCTGTTGTAAAATTGGGGAAGTATGGCTCAGTGACTTGCTCTAATTTTGACAGCAATATAACAGGTTAGAGAATTTGCTTCCTTCCCACTTTATGATGTTCTCTGTGGAAATAGGTAGTTCAGAGCCAGCCTGCTATCTTTCTGCCATCCTGCTAAAGAACAACATATGGTACTGTATTTTCCCCTTCCTTACATATTAAGAAAGTTTTCTTCTGTTCAGGATTTATTTATTTTGATTTGAAAGGCAGAATTAGAGAAAGAGAGAGAAATCTTCCATCTACTGATTCATTCCCCAAGTGGCTGCAGTGGTTGGAGCTGAGTAGATGTAATGCCAGGAGCCAGGAACTCTAACTTCCCTCCAGGTGTCCCATGTGGGTGCAGGGGACCAAAAACTTGGGCCATTCTCTCCTGCTTTCCCAGGTTTTAAGCAGGGAGCTGGATTGGAAGTGGAGCTGTTGGGACACAAATCAACAGCCATATGAGATACCTGCACTGCAGGTGGAGGATTAGTTTGCTATACCATTGCAGTAGCCTCAGAAGTTTTCTTTATTGTTGTGATTCAGTAGCAGTTAAGACTATAAGGAACAGACTTTTGGGGACTATTTAGACTTTTTAAAGATTTATTTATTTTGATTGTAAATGCAGATATACAGAGAGGAGGAGAGGCAGACAGGAAGATCTTCCATCCAATGGTTCACTTCCCAAGCAGCCGCAACGGCTGAAGCTGAGTCAATCCAAAGCTGGGAGCCAGGAGCTTCTTCCGGGTCTCCTAAACAAGTGCAGGGTCCCAAAGCTTTGGGCCAACCTTGACTGTTCTCCCAGGCCACAGCAGGGAGCTGGATGGGAAGCGGGCCACTGGTATTAGAACTGGCACCCATATAGTATTGCAGTGTGTTCAAATTGAGGACTTTAACCACTACATTATTACACCAGGTCCTATTTATGCTTTTGCTATCTTGCTGCTTGTTTTAAAATTTACTTCGACATTTTTAATATTATGGAAATCTTTTGTATCTTTTTTTTTATTAAATAATCTGAGTTTTGATGCACTTAAGTGCATTGTAAATATCCTGTTAGGATAGTATAGTATGCAGCTAGCTTTTGTAAAATTTTCACCGTACTATAATTCTTTATAATAAATTATTTTTATTTCTTAACCATATACTCAGAGTTCAGTTTCACCGTGGACGCGCTAGAGTTATTTAGGATGGTTTTCAACCCTATTGGGAATTCAGGAAAATGACAAGACAGTAAATGTGTACTGTAATTATAATGTGTAGAGCAGGTAGGCAGCAAAACATCAGTAAAAGTGACATGTGACTCCTGTGCATGACCTTGGAGGTCAGTGGTTTTCAATTTTCAAGACTGCAGTTTTTTTTTTAAATTTATTTTTTATTTTTATTATTTTTTTCATTGGAAAGGCGGATATACAGAGAGGAGAGACAGAGAGGAAGATCTTCAGTCTGATGATTCACTCCCCAAGTGAGCACAACGGGCTGATACTATGCCGATCCAAAGCCAGGAGCCTCTTCCGGGTCTCCCACACGGGTGCAGGGTCCCAAAGCTTTGGGCCGTCCTTGACTGCTTTCCCATGCCAGTAGCAGGGAGCTGGATGGGAAGTGGATCTGCCAGGATTAGAACCGGCGCCCATATGGGATCCCGGGCGTGCAAGGCGAGGACCTTAACCACTTGCGCCACGGCGCCGGGCCCAAGACTGCAGTTTTACTTTTAAGACCCTTTACATTCTAAAAATTTGAAGACTTTTGTTTGTTTGTATTTCAGCTATTAACATTTGTTGCATTACAGCTAAAACCTGCGAATCAGGGTACCACCTTGCATACAGGCTGTGAGTTATCCCCAGGACAGTTGCTGCTCTGTAAAAATCCAGCTCCAGTGACTGGCATCTTGTAGGGACACTGTCAGTTATAGAATTCATGCTCTGCATCAATATGTAATACCAGTATAAGTGAAAAGAGCAGTTTGCTCAGCTTCTCTACTAAAGAGGAGAGACAAAGAGAGAGAAATCTTCCATTGGTTAGTTTATTCCCCAGTTGGCTGCAATGGCTGGAGCTGGGCCATTCTGAAGCTAGGAGCCATGAACTAGGAGTTCCCTCTGGGTTTACCATGTCAGTGTAGGGACCTAAGGACACTTATGCCATCCTCTACTGCTTTCCCAGGTCATAAACAGGCTGTTGGATCAGAAGTGGAGTAGCTGAGACTAGATCTGGTGCATATGGTATGCCGGCACTGCAGGTGCAGGCTTAAGCTACTATGCCACGATGCTGGCTCTGGAGAAATAGTTTTATTTACTAAATTGTATTTCATGATCATGGCAGAATTCTTGCAGAAAAATCATGAAACTGTTTTATGAATTTGATGAATTTATTCTTTGACCTTAGATTCTCCCAGATATGCAAGAAATATTGTTCTTTTGGAGAAGGGAAGCAACTGTCATTTTGTATTGTTTTGTTTTAGTTTGATATATAGATTTCTTATGGTGAAAACATTCTGTGTCCACTTAGGCTTGTATGGTGATGGCTTTTCTTAGACCAGTATCTGTTAATATTTGGCTTTGGACTTGGGGAAAAATTTGTATTGAAATTTAGGAAGCAGTTTAGATGGTGTTCAGTGACATAATTGGAAAAATGAGGTTGGAACCATGTTAAGGTGGATAAGGAATTTGGATTTTGGTCTGTGTTACAAGTAGTTTTTGAATGTTTTTAAATCAGAGGTTTGTCATAAAAGTGGTAGGTTTGGAAGGATGAATTCAACAGAAGTCCTTGAGGTTGACTGAGAGATTCCCTTCTGGTGCTGTTGGAAATTAACAAGGCATTTAGCCAAGTTATAATGTATAATAAGATAAACAATGACAAAATCTTGAGATACCAATTTTAATGACTCTGATTATATGGTTTTATGGAATTAGCATTTGATCACAGTTGTGTATTTTGCACTATTTGTGAACTTTCCATTGAAAGCTAAGATCTTTGACTTAAACCAAGTATTTGTATTGGTAACTAATTTACTAAATATGCCAATATAGGGCAGAGTATGTGTAGTCCAGCAAGTATTGGCCAACCACGAAAGACAACACTGTCTCCTGCCCAGTTGGATCCTTTTTATACTCAAGGAGATTCTCTGACTTCAGAAGATCATCTCGATGACACTTGGGTAACTGTGTTTGGGTAAGGTTTTTAGATCGTTTTAACTTTTTTTCTTAATCCCACCTCAAGGTTTGATAATGAGTATTATCAAATATTCAGAAAAATTCAAGGGATTACACAGCAAAAACCCATCTTCCTACCACCTGGATTGGATTGTACACTTGTTAACAGTTTGGTACATCTACTTTTTGTGTCATCTGTCCATCTCTCAATTCCTTTTGTTAGTTATGTTTCATTGTAAATTGCAGATATTGTACATGTCACCCTGATACTTCAACATGCTTATTATTGATCAAAATTTATTATTTGGAGTTTTTAAAAAATACATTACTTGGGCCTGGTGGCGTGGCCTAGTGGCTAAAGTCCTCGCCTTGAACGCCCCGGGATCCCATATGGCTGCCGGTTCTAATCCTGGCAGATCCACTTCCCATCCAGCTCCCTGCTACTGGCCTGGGAAAGCAGTTGAGGACGGCCCAAAGCTTTGGGACCCTGCACCCGTGTGGGAGACCCGGAAGAAGTTCCTGGCTCCTGGCTTCAGATCGGCACAGCACCAGCCGTTGAGTTCACTTGGGGAGTGAATCATGGGGCGGAAGATCTTCTTGTCTGTCTCTCCTCCTCTCTGTATATCTGACTTTCCAATAAATAAATAAATCTTTAAAAAAACATTACTGTTTTTTGAAAGAGCAACAAAGGCAGGATGATGGAGAACAGAAGGAGGAGGGTTCTTCGTCTGTTGGCTCTCTTCTCTAAGTGGCTGAAACAGCTAGGGCTGGGCCAAGCTGAAGCCAGGAGTCTGTAACCCTGCCTGGGTTTCCCACATGAATGGGAGGGACTGCAGTCCCTGGGCCACCATCTGCTGCCTGCCCAGATGCTTTCAAGAGTTGGCAGCTGGGATACAAAGTAGTGCTCTGATTTGGGATTAGCTTCACAAACAGCAGTTTAACGTGCTGTTGTACCATGATGGCCACAAGTTAGTTTTTGCCTGATTTGCTTACCTCTTTCCAGCAATTTTCTTTTGAATTGAAGGTTTCCCTTTCATTCTCTAAGGAAACTCCCTCCTTTCTTTCTAGTGACTATTTTTTTATTTTTAGAGGGTTTAGCCATTTTGAACTAACAAATTGAATTTCATATGTACACATTTGAATGTGAGAATATATACATGTATGTATGTATATATATCCTGTCATAGGATTGAAACTTTCCAACTAAATCTCAACTATTACCAGAAACAAAAGATTACAGTCTTGGATATACTTTAAATATTTTTGTGTGTTTGTGGCCAATAAAAGAATTTGCTCTTTAGAGGCAGTATTGCATGATCTTTTAGTTTTACAGGTGAGGAAACTGAGGCATTAACAAATTATCTAGAAGTTCATAACTAGTTAATACAACTGTAATTAAAAGCTCAGTCTTTGATTTTCAAAGTTAACACTAGCTGTATTGAAAAAAAGAATACTTGGAATCCTTGAAGGAACAGCACCACCTGATTAATATGTTAATTTTATATATTCTGTTTATTTAAAATTCAAAAGTTAAAGTGTAGATAAACAATACTGTGAAAATATAGTACCTTTTATCGCCAACTACATTAAAATGTTTTTTAAACTAACTACACTTTTCTTTAGGGCATGATTGCCATCTTTTTTTTTTTGGTGTATTTTGTTTAACAGTTGTGTGTATCACTGATTCTGATTAGATGAAAAGTACTGGCTCTTTTGAAAGCCCATCCTTAGCTATATATATCCATAGCACTTGGGCTGATTTGATTCATTTTTTCTTCTTTATGTTTAAAATTTTCTACTAAAAAATGGCTGTTTTTAAATGTGACTGTTTATTCCTAAGTTTGTTTTTCAAACTCTTTAGTATCACTTTTTATGAATCCTGGTAATTAGATAAGTTGCTTGGAGTACTCAAGAGCTTTTTTGTTTTCATATTTAAGACATATATTCTCCCATTGATTTTTTTTTTGAGGGGGGGAAGGGTTACTTTTTTGTCTTAGTAATCTTGCACGTGAACTTTGAGAACTGAAGCATTCTTTAAGAAATGTTCTATTTTGATTATTTGTAGGGGAATATTTACAAATGCATTGTATTTTAAATAGTTTAAGATTTTCCTGCTGACTCAGTATATCATTTTGGTGATTCTTTAGAGATAAGAGTATTCTTTTTTCCTTTCTTTTTTCTTCTTTCCTCTTCCTTTTCAATTTGTTTATTTTACTTGAAAGAGTTACATATGGTGAGAGGAGAGACATAGACAATCTTCCCTTCTCTGCTTCTCTCCCAAATGACTGCAATGAGTTCAATGTCTGGAGCTTGGCCAGTTCATAGCCAGGAGTCAAGAACTTCTTTATCTCCCACATGGGTGCAGGGGTCAAAGGCCAGGCGCATAAAGGAGGGAGCAAGATCAGAAGCAGAGTAGCTGATATTCCAGCTGAGATCTTAGGGGATGCTGATGATGCGGAAGGAGGCCCAATAGATTGCCACAATGCTGGCCCTAGTTTCTCTTTTATTTTTGTGACTTTTTTGTGTGTTTGTCCTTAATATTAAAAACTGGACCCCATATTAACTGAAATTAATGATCGAGGAACTTCTGGATTTTTCTGTATTAGTGACGGCTATTAATGCTTGCAAGTTGTTCAGATTTAATTGTTTAGACTGTGAAAATAGTTATGTTTTATTATGAAATGCTTAAGTTGTAAGAACATAAAGAAGGAGGTAAAAACTACTTAGAAATTTTCCCATGTAAACGTTTGGACATTACAATTTTGATAAACATCCTTTTAAATGATAATGTACTGTTGATATTGGTACTGAATTTTATTTTTGTTTCATGGATAAATTTCAGAATTTTTAGATGCTGCTTAATGCAGAATGTTATGACTATAATAATCTACAATTTTCTTTTAATGATTATAGTGTACCTAAATGTAAACATGCTGTAAAATATATCTAGAACTATAACTTTATAGCTCTTTTTGAAGAACTGTAAAAATAGTGGAGATTTTAGAGGTTTCAGAAGTAGTGTCACGCTGGAGGAGAACATCTGATTCAAGACTAAGGTGTTTGCTTTTGAGTGATTGATATTGTTAGGCTATAGAGGAGTAAATAGAATCCGCAATCTCCTGTTACTTTTCTGGACAGTTAGATGAGTTTCTTGTAAAACACATGTTAATATGTTAATTTGCATTCTGATTCAGAGCGGCAGTTGACTACTTTGGACAACTCTTATTTATTTTTCTTTTTCAGATTTCCTCAAGCATCTGCTTCATATATATTATTACAGTTTGCACAGTATGGGAATATCTTAAAACATGTGGTAAGTTTTGTGGTGCTTTTGGCTCAGTATTTTGGCTAAGGAAAAATAAATTGTTAATTGAGTGGGAACTGCTTCTGAACTTTGTCTTTTTCTGAATTTAAAATAGTTTTCTTTTAGATTTATGGGATATGTCATTTGGATCTAGAAGGATAAAAGTTGCATCATGCTTATTAAAATAAGGGATAAACACAAGATAACGGGATAAAGGAAGAGGTTGAAAGTTTTGGGATTCACTCCCCACTTTATTAAATGGTTAATATGTACTCTTTAAATGATGAATTATGTCACATTGCTGTTTTTCATTCAAAATTTATTCTTTTAAAGATGTATATTTTATTTTTTTTATTTGAGAGGCAGAGAGAAAGAACTCTTCCATCCACTGGTTCACTCTTCAGGTAGCTGTAATGAGTGGCTGGAGCTGGGCCAGTCAGAATCCAGGAGCTTGGAGCTTCTTGGGGGTCTGCCCTGTGGATGCTGGGATCTAAGGACCTGGATCATCTGCCGTTACTTTCTCAGGCATGCTGTAGGGAGCTGGATCAGAAGCAGAACAGCCAGGACTTGAGATTGCACCCATATGCCCCACAGGCAGAGGAGAAACCTACCATATTGTGATGCGAGTCCTGTGAGCTTGTTTTTTAGAGTAAATTAATTCATGGAAGCTGAGTCAGAGTGGGAGGAATAAAGGAAAGAAGGAAGGAGGGAGGGAGGAAAGAGTGGGAAGGATGAGGGCAATGAGGGAGGTTTGCTGGGTTACTCCCAATGCTTGAATCAACCTGGACTGGGCCAAGGCTGAATTCAGTCCACAATCATTAAATGGATGGAATAGCCAGAGCTCTGTTATTTGAGTAATTGCCAGTGCCTGCCTGAATTGGCCCTAAGGTGAACATCTAATCCAGGCACAGCAGTGTGGGATGCGAGCATCCTGATTGGTGCCTGAACTGCCAGACCAGCTAGCCCTAACCTGATCCTGTGCTTAGTGGCTTTAAGGGAAGAGGAGGAAGTTCCTGAGCTGAATATAGTTTTTAGAGTTGGTAGGTTTAAAAATTATCTTAGCTTAAATAAGTTGTAAATAATACATACATATTTTTAATTTCTAGGAAGTAAGATTTGTCTTTGTTAACTACATAAAGTCAGATTGGTGAATATAAGTTTAAAAAATTTATGTAAAATATTGACATGCTTTTTATAAGAAATGATTATCTTTTGAAAATTATTTTACTTTTGTAAAATATTTGTCATGTATTCTTTATTTTAGACCAGTAAAAGCTACGTAGAACTTATTAAAACTATTCCATAATGTTTATGCTGAACCCTAATTTGCAGCTATGTACAGAATATCAAATAAAAATTGAAAATATAGTTTTATCTTAGTATTTCTGTTTTTCCAGTTGAATTCACTTGGTATAGGTTTTAAATGTGTTTTTTTAAGAGACGACTTTATTTCTTGCAGATGTCTAATACAGGAAATTGGATGCATATTCATTATCAGTCTAAACTGCAGGCTCGGAAAGCCTTAAGCAAAGATGGGAGAATTTTTGGAGAATCCATCATGATTGGCGTGAAACCATGTATAGACAAAGTAAGATATTGCTATTGTAAGCAAAATAGCTTAATTTATGTGAAGAACACAGGACTAAGGATTCACAATGGAGGCTTATTTCATTTGACTTTGTCTCTTTTTTCTTATTTCGTAATTGCTGATGACATTTATAGAACTCTGGTGTTTTAGGCAGAGTTACAGAGAGGGAAAGACAAAGACAATGAGACAGAAAGAGCTCGCATGCATGAGCAAGTGTGAGCGAGCTTCCATTTGCTGATTCATTTCCCAGATGGATTTTAATTAGTCATTTTTATTTAAAATGTTTGGAAATTAGATATACTTAAAAAACAATGAGTATCATTGAATCTTCTTTTTGTAGCTTGTAAAAATTATTTTGATGGTTCTTTACATAAATATGTGGAAACTGGAACTGCACACCCAGAACTTTTGTTGGTGTTGGTATGCACACATTGAACAAAACAGACATGGTTGCTGTTCTTAAAACTGGATATCAGTTTTGGTTGTATTGTTATGTGTGGTACAGCTGGTTTTTACAGAGGCTTAGGGAGTATTTGTGAGTTATTATATAAAGTAAATAGCTTCAAATTTTTAATCTTCTAATACAGGTTTCCCTATCCTTTTATCTATCTGAGTTCTAATGATGAAAAATTCTTATTTGTAAGGCAAATACAATTTTCTTACTGTCTTCATGTTTTGTAATTATAGCTAAGAAAAATATTTTTGTCAAACTGGATGTTATATGAGATGGTGTATGCCTTTTTAAAAAAGTTTTTGTTAAGTTGGATATAGTATGGTATAATTTGTATTATGCTCGTAAACAAAGAGTTGTTTCTTTGTTTGCCCAGAGTGTTATGGAAAACAATGACAGATACGCTTTGTCATCTCCGTCTCTGGCCTTTACGCCTCCCATCAAAACCTTAGGTACACCAACTCAGCCTGGCAGCGCTCCACGGATTTCTACCATGAGACCTCTTGCTACAGCATACAAAGCTTCTACTAGTGACTACCAGGTATTTTAAGTATTGTGTGAAACAGATGTACCTTAAATGTGGAAAGCATCCTGTTTTATTTTTTTGTAAGATCGATCTGTTTGCTATTAACACTAGAGGTTGTTGCCTAGATTAAACCCTTAAACTTTTCAAATTTTGTGTTTTCAAGTTAGAATATTTTTTTTGTTTGTTTTGTTTATTTATTTTTATTTGAAAGGCAGATCTACAAAGTGGAGAGATAGTGAGACAGATCATCCAACCTCTGGTTCACTCCCAAATGGCCACAATGGCCAGACCTGAGCCAATATGTATGATGCCCATAGCCAGGAGTGTCTTCCAGGTCTCCTGTGTGTGTGCAAGGCCCCAAGGCCTTGGGCCATCCTCTATTGCTTTCCCAAGGCATAAGCAGGTGGCTGGAAGGGAAGTGGAGCAGCTGGGACATGAGCCAGCACCCATATGGAATCCTTGCTACAAGATGAGGACTTAGCCATTGAGCCATTGTATGTGGCCCCTAAAAAGATTTTTCAAAATTTTACTTGAATTTATACATATATTGGAGAGAGGGAGAAATTGAGAGAGAGGGAGATCTTCCTGTTTCACTGCCCAAATGGTCCTGATGGGCAAAGCTGGGCTGGCCCAAACCTTGGAGCCAGACTCCTCTTCCTCCCGGTCCCCAAGGCCTGGTCCATCCTCCGCTTCTCAGTCAGTAAGCAGGGAGCAGGATTGAAAATGGAGAACTTGAGCAGGTCCCCATATGATATTCTGGTGCTACAGGCTAGAGAGAATTAACTTGCTGGACCACCACCCTGGCCCCTCCTTTTTTGCCATTCCTAAAAACATAACATTGTTCTTAAGAACAGACAATTGAATTCTCTAAGTGCGTTAGCTGTATAATTGACTGGGACACTGAACAAATTGTCAGCTAACACTTTTTGCATGTGTTTGTATGTTTCCTTAATAGGTTATTTCTGACAGACAAACGCCAAAGAAAGATGAAAGTCTTGTATCCAAAGCAATGGAATACATGTTCGGCTGGTAGCATGAGAAGATCTATGGACTCAGCTACTGAAGAGGAGTCGGCTGCACTAAAACAGAGTTAGCAGAGTACTGCCAGTTTCCTTCGGTTAGTTATATAACCACCCTTGGCAGTATTGGATTTCTATCTCATGCTTTTTAAGCAGCCTTAGTATTTTTTAGAAGGATTCATCTTGTTTGTAGCTCGCACTTTAAAAGCTGCTTGAAATGTTGTTTTGATGAAAACTAAAAATCCCTGTAAATAGGGTTTTTGTGTTTTCTGTGATAGTGCATGCTTATACACAAAAAAACTGCATTGATTACTGCAAGATAATTAAAATTGTTGTGAGGCCTCCTAGTCTTCTGAAAAGGGGGAGTTGATTTCATGAAGGGAAACTATAGCTGCTTCTCTCAACACCCAAAGATTAAAAATAGCTATTTGAATTATGGTCTTTTAATGTAGATCATATTGAATATTTTACTTATATTTGTTTGTATGTCTTGTCATGGATTGTCATGGATTGTCATCTTTCAGTATTGTGCAGCCACACAACATTCTTTTAAGAACTTTACTACTAAAATTTCTTGATAATAAACTTTGTCAATGATATGTTTTGAACAGTTTTTGAAAGGTGATTTGTTTTGTCATTTCATTTCAAAAGATTTTAAATGGAAGCTGAAATAGACAAAATATGTCATGAGCCTCTACGTGTCTGTACTCCAGTTTCAGTTACTGTTAGGCTTGACTGTGCTTGATATTTACCTCCTTTTTATTTTGTTTAGATACTTTATAGATGTTATATTTTAATCTGCGTGAGAATATATCAGAAAGAATATTTCCACACATAATTATATCAGCATTTCATGTAGTGGAGTTAATAGTTTATTAATGTCTAATATCCGTTTTGTTAAAATCAAAGTCTAAACTAGAGCTTCATAATTTATGTTGTTTTTCTCTTAAATGTTTTGTAATCTGAATTCTCTGTTTCACTCCATGATTCAAGCCCTCATGGCTCGCTGAAGGAGACATAGAATGTCGTCTGTGTCTTATGAGTGTTTTACGTCCACGGTTATTTTCTTGTTCAACATTTATTCTGTATCCTAGAACCTGTTTCTGTCATTTTGCTTTTTTGTAAGTTTTTTGTTCTTATTTCATGCTTTGTAATTTGTGGTCCTTTTTGGTAGTGAAATATTGCCAATTCTTTTTTCATTTCGTTTTGTGTGTATATTCTCTGGTTATTTCTGTTTATCATGGATATTACGTGTAACACTCTCCACCTGTTATAGTTGTTGGTGTAACTAAATTGATCGTGATCAGTTGTGTGTTCAAAACATGAACTAATGATCCTTTGAAATGATTTAGTCCCAAATTGTGTGGAAAACAGTATATAGGATTGTAAACCCAAGTTAGGATAATGCTTGGATTTAGAGCCATAATTTAAAAAATGTTTTGATAGTGTCTTAAGATATGTGGAAGATAAAATCTAGTGTTACAATATCAGCTTTTATAATTGCCTGCTTATTTATCCCTTATTGAGGTCTCAATTCTTGTGGCTTTCGGTTATTGTCCTGTGTTCTTTCATTTTCATGCTGCATGGCTTCCTTGAAATTTTATGGGGAAAAGAAAGGAAATTTTATGGGTAGCTCTTGTGGTAACAGACTTGTTCAATTTTTGTTTAGCTGTAAACAACCTAACTTTTGTTTTTGGAAATTTTCATTTATTTCCAATCTTATGTGAAAGAGAGAGATAAGTCAGTCTTCCATTTTCTGGTTTACTCTTCATAAGCCAATAGAAGTTAGGATTGGAGCCAAACTTAGAACTCAGTCGCTTTCTACCATGTGTGTTGCAGGGGTACAAGTACTTGTGGTTATCTTGCTTTCCAGAGGATTAGAAACGAACTGAATTGAAATTGTTGGAGCCAGACCTCAGACGAAGTACTCTGATATGGGATGTGGGCATCTTGAGTGGTTTTTTTTTTTTTTATTTTTAAAGATTTATTTTTAAATTTTTATTGGAAAGTTAGATATACAGAGAGGAGGAGAGACAGACAGGAAGGCCATTCGTCTGTTGATTCACTCCCAAGGGGCCACGCTATCCAGAGCTGCACCAGTGTGAAACCAAGATCCCAGAGCGTCTTTTGGGTCTCCCATGCAGGGGCAGGGTCCCAAGGCTTTTGGGCCATCTTTGACTGCTTTTCCAGGCCACAAGCAGGGAACTGGATGGGAAGTGGGGCTGCCGGGATTAGAACCAGCACCGATATGGGATCCTGGCGAGTGCAAACTGAGGACTTTAGCTGCTAGGCTACCGTACTGGGCCTGAGATCATCTGTCTTTGTGTCTTCTCTCAAATTTGGGAAAATTTCAGCCGTTCCTTCAGTATTCTCTTTGCTCCATTCTCTACCTTTTGGGATTTGAACAGTGAATATGTTGATCTACTTGATGGTAGGTTCCTTAAGCTCTTCAATCTTTTCTTTTTATCAGACCTGATCTGTTGTTCATGTGTTAATGAAGTTATTTTTGAAGTTATTAAGTTTTCTATCATGCTTAGGATGTGACTAAAAACCTTGCTTCCTCTTCAACTCCAGTGATTAAATATATTTGATGGTTCAAGTCCATTGTTATACATAAGCATATGAAAGGTCAAATAATCCATCTTTCAGAACATCTTTTGTTACCTCAAGTGATTGAAGTGATTCTGGTAGTTTTTTGATGAGTTTCTTTGTTATTGATGACAAGATATTGTTTGGACGTTTATTGTGTTTTGTGTATGTTGTGTAGAAGTTGGCATTCTCCAGTAAGTGTTTGCTCTTCTTTTAGGAAAAAGTATTTTTCAATACTGTTATCTAGATGCTTGTAATTGCATTTTCTGACTAAATTGGTATACCTCGTGACTTCTTACTGATAGAAATTAACTATGGACTGCACTTTTTGCAAATTGAAGGTTTTTGTATAATGTTCTTCTGTCTTATGCAGTTCTAACCTTACTAGAAATTACAGAGTTTGAGTGTCCCATTAACCATTAATAATTTGGCTTCTGATTTTTTGTACATGTCAGTTTAAGAATAACAATGTTCACACCACATCCAATGGGTAGGACTTTTGGGAGCTGTTGGAAACTCTGCCTCCATCATCCGCATTCCTATTTCTTACATCCCATTATTGTTGTACTGTATCTTCATTTTGAGTGTTTTGCCATTATAATAACTATATTCTTCTATCTTAATTGCACAAGTAACTATATATTTAATGCTCATACCCATGTAGATACCTCCCCATTCTTTCTGGTTGAAGTCCGTCCTCTGTTAAATTCATGAGGGAGTTGGTCCCAGCTTCTGTTTCACTACATGAATGTCTGCAGCAGTTGGAGCTGTGTTAAGCTGAAACCAGGTCCTGGGGTTCAATCTGGGTGTTCTTTATGGGTGGCAAGGACATGAGAAACCGAGTCATCAGCTGCTGCCTCTCACCGTGCACATGTTCAGGAGGCTAGCTTGGAGGCTGAGCCTGACCACACTGGGGACTTGGGTGTGGGCTGTGAACATCCTAAGCACAGGCTTTGCTACTTTAACAAGTAGCTGCTCCCATTATCTTCTCTTAAATGTGTGTTTTTAAAAAGTGGTTAGCACATTCAGTCTGTCTCTGCACCATTTGCACACGCGCTTGTCTTCACATTGTTTTATAATTTGCTGATACGTTGTTTGTTATTAACTTTAGTAGGGATATACTTAGTCTTCTATTAAACTTGAATGGAGTAGTAGGATGAGTTTTGTAAAAAAATGTTTTAGATTCTCTTGAGAAACCATAAATATAATTTAAGTAAATGTTTTGGAAGATTGTCATTAGCCTTTTCAATTTTTGTTTTAGTCCAACCTTGTTGAAATCAGATCAGAAGAAGAAATGGTCTTTTTTCCTTGTCCTGCTTTGCAGTGCTGAATTGGCACCTCTGTTGGTAGAATTAGGTTGCCACACTAAGTGGAAAAGAACATTGTAGTCTGTAGAAACTAGTTCTGGTATCATCACAAAGTAGGTGAAAGAGGTGCATTTGGAATTGAGAAAAAGTAAATAATGTGCACAAAGTTTTTGCTTAAATGAATGATTACATTTTACATTGAGGTCTATGTGTTTGAATATTGTATTATTGTATCTGTATTTCCGTCTTCTTGCTGTCTTGCAATCATTTTCTTAATATTGTTGATGCCAGTTGCTGTTTTTATCTTTTGGCTATCGTTTGACTAAGAAATGGATGAAGCACAAGCGTGTTTTTAGACTGTTGCCTTAAATTTTCTAGTCTTTATTTTATAGAAAAAAAATCATTTCCACTTTCTACACCATTCAGATCTGAGTTCACGTGGGATGGAGTTTTGTCTTTAATCATAGGCCATATTTATCTGTGTTACACTATCATCTGTTATTAGAACTTTTTTTCTCAGGAGACTTGCATTGAAATTAGAACATTATACATATGGAAATGTCACAGTTAAAGTGGTAATTTTAACTAAAGGTGAAGATATTTAGTGAAGCTGTGGTCTCAACCCCCTTAGGTCCACTGACCTAGTCCAGCGTGGGATAATGGAGGGGTGTGTGTGTGTGTGTGTGTGTACGTATGTGTATGTATGCATATGCATGCACCCACTCAAGTATAGATAATATTGCAGATGGGGAATGTATAATGTTTTGTTCCTAATGTTAGGAGCACAGGTTTCACAAAGAACACATTATTGGCTAAAAATAGAGTACTTTGTAACTTGAAACTTCTTCCTTCTTTGTTTCTGAAATGTTCTTCCAACTTATTCTAAATTATTAATCAAGTCTTTATAATGTTATCAATTTTATTAGAGAGCCCTTTCTTTTCATTCTTTCCTTTCTTACCTGATCCTGGTTGTTTTAATGGTCTTGATCACCCATTTGCCTAATGTCTATTGAGTATTTTGTCCTGATTAAGTTAGGTTTGGGAGAAAGAAATAGATATGGGGCTCTTATCTGAAATTCAAGATGATTCATTTACTTCTGTTTTCTCCCACTGTTTCTACTAAACTTTTTAACTTTATTTTCATTTTGTTTGCTCAGAGTTTACCTTATTCTTTAGTCTTGCAGCCTTTTTAAGTCTTAATTCCTATTTTCTGTCTTATGAAGTAGAAATAATATAAAGAAGAAAGTAACAACAGATTGTGGGTAACTAAGTACTTGGTCCATCGTCTACTGCCTTTCTAGGCATGTTTGCAAGAAAGCTGAGTTAGAAGCAGTGGAGTGGATTTGAACAGGGACTATGAAATGGAATAGTTTCTTCACAAGTTGTGGTTTAAGCTGCTGTACTTACACCTTAACCCTGACCCAATTTTAAATTTTGAAATGCAGCTTTATTCATCTAATTCACAACTAAAGGAAAAGCTATAAATGAATCTTGAGCTAGATGACATGGTGTTTTCATGTTTTCTTTTTCAGCTTTGTGTTTTCTAGCTCATCTGTATTTCAAACTTCCAGCGGAAATTGAGTGACAGGCACTTAGAATACTTCTGTTCATAATACTACAGGATATTTTTCATGTTCTGATAGTGTGGGAATGGTGAGTCTCTATTTCTCTCATTTCCTGTGAATTGATTGGGAATAGCTCTGTGACTTAGGGGATGAGGACATTCCTGCAAATTAAATTAGCTTGAAATGGAATGATTCTTTAAATCTTAAGTGGGTATCAGCTAGTGGAATAGACTAGCTAAACAATGTAAAGACAAGTCAGGCCCAGATAGGCTTTCAAAGGGGTCAGAATTTATACTTGATAGAAATCTAATTGAAGTTAAAGTTCTTAAGTGTGTAAGACTTTTGAATGCCAAAAAATTCAGATCTAGTTTTATAGATTAATTACAAGTAGGGAAATGAATCAAAATGATTTCAACTCATAATTTTTAAACTTAGTCATTAAAAGGTGATGATTTGGAGTGAATGTAATCCCTTTTGCATAGTTAAGTAGTTATTTGACTCTGTAATACTCATACTCTCGAGTCAATGCTCTTACATTAATTTTAGTAAGCATTCCAATAATGTTTGCAATTCAGATTACTTTAGTACAAGTTGGTTGATTTAAAGGTAGTATTTAGACTCTAAATTTTATAACAGAAATGGGTTTTAAAATCAGGCTTTTTAAATCCTGTCTCTACCTTGTATTAACCTTGGGCAAGTTAGCCTTTTGTGTCTCATTTTCATTATCATAAAAACAATGAGTAAGGATTATCCGTAGGATCACGAAGATAAATGAAATGATATGTAGACATCAATTAGAACCATACCTTGCATGTACTGGGAATACATGAAACATTAACCATTATTATTAAGTAGTTAGCAAGGTAAGTTAATACACTTGGCATTAACCTAATTTCGGAAGGTAAGTATGTGATGTA